AGCGGGGGGGGGGGGTAGGTGGACAGAGGATGGCTCCCTACCATTCCATGCCCCCCAAGGGGGGCTTGGGGGGTATGTGCCCCCCTTGGGTTTGTGCACGGAGTGAGGGCTGGCTGCCCACTACAGTCTCAAGATCGGGATTGTGGCGGCCTTTTCTTGGCCAGGGCTGGGGGGGGCTGCCCTTGGGGCGGGTAGGGATGGGGCGGGCTCAGTTGCACGGGGTGGGCGGTGGCATGGCAGTGTTGGGAGGGGTGGCTGCAGGAGGACTGTGGGGAACTTTAGGGTGGCTGTAGCCCCCCAGCCCCGTCCCAGGGCCACCCTTGCTCAGGGCACTGTGCTCTGCTGCAGCTGAACCCGCCCCACCTTGAGCACAGCCCCAGCCCAGCTGCTCGGCTGGGAAGAGGCTGGGGGAGTCCCTGGCCCTAAGCCTGTAGCAGGCAGCCCACCCTCGCCCCGCGCAAAATCCGGGGCGGGATATATGGCCCTCATGCCTCCTCCAGGGGTGCACCCAGTGGTAGGGAACTGCTCCCCATCCCTCTCCACACCCCCTGGATGAGCTACCCACTGCTCTGTCTCATACCCCACCCCAGGGTCGCATTCACCACCCTGCCTTGGCAGTCCCTGCCCCACTCCCTCCCTCACTGTGAGGGCCTCGGTCTGCCCCGCCCACCCCTTCCCGCCCAACAGACTTACTGGCCAGACACGGCTCTCCATGCTCCCTGGCTGCATTCCTGTAAATCAGCTATTGGATCAGTATCGGCTGATATAGTCGATTAATAATCGGCCATCAGTATTGGCCAAATAAATCTTTAATTGTGTATCCCTAGTTTTTAGTTGTCAACTGTGATAAAATATTACCAGCAGTGATAGCTGAGAGGAAGAGGAAAATATCAGAACACAAGACCAACCTTGCTGCAAGTGTGTAGGCACCATCCTGTGCAGCTGAGTGTGGTGGTCTCCAACTGAGTATGAAAGAGAAAAAGGGTTTGTCTCTTTATTTTTTGAGAAGGTGTGGCAGTAACTGGAATACTAACACACACACACCCCTCTCTGTCTCCTCCTCCATCATCTCCTGTCAGATAACCTTGTACAATCAGTTGCTTGGCATTCTTTTTTTCCAGACATGGGGGTGAGGGAGGGGAATCCCACTCAGACTGCTATGTTACTCTACTTTCTGTCTTGCCACTCTGGAAATCCTATACTTCCTTTCAAAGTACTGTTGCTTGGTGATCTAGAATTAAGCACTAACTTTCCATGAAATTCAGATCGGATAATTGGTATAGCAGAAATGCAGTGTTCTCCAAATTACTTTTGTGGAATTTCATGAAGAGAAGACTAGGGAAAAGGAGCAGTATGTCATGATTGCTTTTTTTTTTTTTTTTTTTTCAGCTGATATACCAGCCCTGAGTTAACATGGTTTTCTCCTTGAAGGATTATTTTAGTATGTCTCCATTTGGATATTTAGCCAGAGAAAATTTCAGAAACATTTTTTTCTGCTCTAGATGTACTTGTTTTCTTTAATATGCACCTTGAAGCCTTAATGTTATGTCTTTTAATATAAGAAAAGTTGCTGATAATATTTTGCCACAGTTTGCAACTAAGAACCTGCTCACCACACTTCATGAATAGATCCATTGTTGTTTAGCTGAAGCTGACATGAGCCTTTTTATTTCAGGGAAACTTCTTATATATGGGAAGCAAAGGTGTGGAAAGGGACCATAAAGGGACTTCATTGTCTTGTTGTGTGTGATGGCTTTTGTTATCTGATGGTACAGGGATCCTAGGAGAAAAGCCCATCCTGCTCTGGAGAATGAAAGTCTGAGATATAGGCTATCCAATGATCTAACACAGCTGTCCAGCTGGCAGCGTGTGGCCTGCATGTGCCCCCCAGGGTGTTAAACTGCAGCCCCTAGGCTCCTGGTTTGGATGCTGCTCCTCCCTTTGCTCCCTTGCTGCTCTTGCGCCCTCCAGTTTCTCATGCTTGCCCTCACCCTTGGGAGTTGGATTGGGTAGAGCAGGGCAGGCAGGGCCGTAAATGGCACATTGTGGGCTATGCATTGCAGTGGGGAGTCCTGAACCACTTAGAAGTTGGACAGCCCTGGTCTGACAGGAACAGATACAGTCTGAAGAAGTTTTGAAAGTCAGGGGATTGCCAGAGGATTCATAATTGTCAGAGTTAATTGTTTCCTCCAGGAGTTTCTAGGGAGGATAGACTTGTAGAATAAGAAAATAAGGACCTGAGGCTGACAGGAACAGAACTGGCAATTAGTAGTCAACACTTTTTTTTTTTTTAAATCTTTCACAAGAATATCTCTTATTTCCTAGTGGTAACAGCAAAGGGCAAGAACAGTATATGAGATGAGAAATAGGAAATGGAGAAGGAAAGATGTAATAAAAATGAAAAATCAACAAAGCATGTCTTGTTTCTGTCAATCTTATCCAGTGAGTGAATGGGGAAGTGGACTGAGAGGACATTTGAAGTGTTTCTTACCTCTGTGGCCATTGGTTGAAGTCTACACATGTAACAAGTAAAACAAGTCTCAGGATGGAGAAATATATGTATTATATAGCTGTGTAATAACTTGCTATCAAGGTCTGGGCTTTGTGCTGCTACTGTCAGCCTGCTTATTTCACAACAGTAGGTTCTGTGACTTGAAAGAGAGATTTATGTAAGAAAGTAATTTTTTTATTTATTTTACTGAGATGGGTGGATGAATATAATTTGTCAGTCCCAGTATTGTTTTTTGTCTATTACATTGATTATGATGGTTGATATCAGATAATAAATGGGACCATAATTTGGAGGGGTAAAACTGCAGAAAAAAGTGAGGCCTGTTTTGAAGGCCAAGGCATAAAATGTGCTCCATGTAATGGCTACCCACAAACCTGTTCAGAAGAGCTTAAGTATAGGCACTTTTTTGCTGTCTCTTTAAAATGGTGAAAGTATACCCTTTTAAAGGCAAAAAAATACAGGCAGTCCTCAATTTACAACGTTTTGAGTTACACTGAATGGCACTTACAACGTTTATAAATTGACACCCTGTTTCAACTTTTTGACGTCAGTTTCGACTTTATGACGCTTGATCCAATGCAACGTCATGCCAGCGAACAAGTTCGCTGCGTCACCCATCTCCCTGGAGAACATCTGTCCAAACTTCCTTAGACACTTTCTTTAAGAAAACAGCCAAGACTCCTGAGAGAGACTCCAGCCAAGAACCCTTCAAAAAGTCCAACCAAGGGCTCTTCAAAAAGTCCAGCAAAGTCACCTCACAGAAGTCCTTCCAAATCAATATGATTGCTATTTACAATATAAATGCATTATGTATCTATATTACTCACCTATAATTGATTGAGTACAAAATTCTGGGTTATTTTTGGTGAAAAATAGGATATCAGGCCTTGATTCAGGAACCAATCCCCCATTTATAACATTGTTTCCTATGGGAAAATCGGTTCTGAGTTACAACGTTTCAACTTGAGGAGCGATGTTCAGGAACCAATTGTTGTAAGTCCAAGGACTGCCTGCAGTTCAACAAAAGGTAGCCTCCAGATAGGGCCTTGAGTTCATACAACAATGCTGGAATAGGATGCTTGAGACATCTGTTTAGGTTACAGAAGTTTCCACTAAAACTCAGAGAAGTTTCAGGTCTGTGTGTACATAGAGCTTTTATACTG